AAATTTCTCGCAGCAAAGGTTGATTCATTTTTTAATTCATGCATTATTATATAATTCGTTTTAGTATTTTTACTAGTGTCTAACACATGCAAAAGAAGGTAGATGTATGATTTTGCTTTCATGAATGAACACTCAGTTTTTTCCCAAAAATGATTAGATAGAATTTGCGAGAAAGAAAATAGCTTTTCAACTTTTCTTTAAGATTATGATATAAATGTGTATTAAAGTTGTTAAAGTTGGCCGATCAGAATTGTGAAGACAATCAGCATAGTTGATGTCCAATCTATATTACATTTGAAATCTGAATAATCTTATTTATTAAAACTAAAAGCAAAAGCAAATTATAGATAGTGGAAGTTTTATTCATGGTCTGTCCTGCAATTTTACCTGCCGCATATCAGTTCCATCTTTCTGTCATTAATTCTCCATTAGCCATTGATCGACTCTTTCCTAGCCTTGTTAAATTTTATGCAGGTATTATAGAAATTTCGATTCATTTTACTTGATGTTTTGGTTTCTTTTATTTTTTTTTTTAAATGATCTCAGATGTGGAGTCAACAGGAGCAAGCACAGAATTCTATGATAAATTTAATATTAGACGATCAATTCAAGTAATATTTCGTTCCCTTTGGGAAAGTACAATCTACAGAAGTAATATTACTTCTTACGCAAGGTAAGCATATTTTTTTTTCATCCATTAACAATTTACTGCTGGCAGGATAGATTTTCTCGAAGACTTCAATTTGACAAAATTAAAAGCTTCAGTCGTATTCTAGTCCAGCATTGGAATTTTGTGAGGGTCAGAACATAATGCTTTGTTATAGTTCTCATATTTAATAGTTTTAAATACTTGAATTTGTCTTTCACATATATTTCCTTGTTTTATTTTGGATCCTTTAATTATATTGTTAATTGTGAACGTCTCATTAGTATGTACAGTATTTTTGTCGTGTTTCAGAGAATGTTCACCAGATTTTATTCGTTTTGTCAATATGGTTATTAATGATGCAACATATCTGTTAGATGAATCATTGCTTGCATTGAAAAAAATACACGATATTGAATCACTGAAGGAAAGCAATGAGTGGTCCAATTTGGGAGATGAAGAACGTCAAATGAAAGAAGATGCATTATTGGAAGCAAAGCGAGGTGTACGGAACTGGTTAATACTTGGACGTGATACACTAGATCTTTTTACATATTTAACTGCTGATGCACCTGAACCATTTTATGAGCCGGTTTGATTTAAATTATTATTATTATTTAATAGGAAGCACAAATATGATTATTTAAACTTTATAACTAGTGATGCAATCGTTCGATCGTTGTATAATCTTTTAGCTCCTGCTTACAGCCTTTCATTCTTAAACTTAAATTTTCATTAATTATTACTTTAAGGCTTGTGGCGTGTTACATTCACCTATGTCATACAATTTGAAAATCCTGCTGATTTATTGAAATTAATAAGCTTTAGTTGCTGGGCGAACGATTAGCTTCAATGTTGGATTACAATGTTTCACAATTATGTGGTCCAAAATGTACAGAACTGAAAGTGCGTGACGCAGTACGTCGGTTTATGTGGGAGCCACGAGCTTTACTACAACAAATAGTAAATGTGTATTTGAATTTGTCCTCAGAAAAATTTGCAGAATGCATTGCTAATGATGAGGTGATTATTGGATTTGGTTGAAACCATCACGTTTTAACTATTTCAGCTATTTCAACATATCTTTTGTTTGTATTTTTCGAAACAAGTAAAACTGTTAGGAACGAAAGCATTACTCGAGGAATGGTATACAGCACAGCTACTGTTTATGTTTTAGTTCCATTTGAAACAAACTGTACATCTAAAAAAGGATCATGACTCGGCTACCTGTTCATTTTCATTTATCTGGATAAAGTGTACATTTTATTCATAGAGATATTCATATTCATTAAACAAACACTTATAGCGTTCGTATTCGCCAGACGTATTTTCAATGGTGCTTTCGCGGTTAACTGCTAATAACATTGTACCTATAAATGAGATAGAGCTCTTGAAAAATCTTGCCGATATGACGCAGCGAATCTGGAAGCAGAAAGCTCAAAATGAAGAAGATTTCGGAGATGATGTTCCAGATGATTTTAGAGGTAATTTTACCTTACAAACTATAAATTGGTTTCTTTTTCTTTTTTTTTTTAAACACTATCATCTATTATGTGTCATGATGAAATCGTTATGATAATGATGAAATTCAACGTTTATTTTAGATTACAGCCTCTAATATGCATCTTTTTTCTTGCATAGATACGATTTGCTCAGTTCTCACTATAATATTGTCATATTCTAGAATTAATTTTCAAGTTTGATGTGAAAATTTTAAGCTCGAAGTTGTATTTGTAATTACGCTTTAATCTAATTGCAGATCCGGTAATGAATACACTAATGACTGATCCTGTAATTCTGCCATCGGGGCATAAAATGGATCGAAAGCATATTATGCGTCATTTGCTCAGTTCTCAAACAGATCCATTTACTCGGCAACCATTGAGCGAAACTCAGCTCGTATCTGGTAATTTTATTCATCTTATTTTTTGCTGTTTGGGTTTTATTTTTAAAAATGTACGTGATTATTCAGATTGGAGGGGCTAACCTTTGACAACTGAACTATATCCTTTGTACTAAAACAGAATCATCTTGTCAGATTTCGATTTACAGCCCTCAACTAATCTATGTTCCTGTATATCCATTATGAATCTTATGTAAGGTAGAGCTGTGTTGAAGTACATACCCTACATTTATTGTCAATTTTGAAAATATGAATTTCACAATTCCAGATGATGCTTTAAAAACAAAAATTCGGGCATGGATAAAGGAAAAGCTGGCGTCAAAATCAAAATGAAAAAATTTAAACTTAAAGTTTCAATAACGTATTGACAGCAATGTATAACTGAGAAAAGTGCTTTAAATTTTTAATCCTGTCAGTGCTTTGAAATTTCAGAACTTTCTTAAATCTGTTAATACATTTTTCTGAATGCACTGTATGTTTGACTTGGCAGCAAAGATTGTATTTTTAATCCTCCCTGTTAGAATGATTTATAAACACAGTTCTCCATTAGGGTGACAATCAAAATTACTGGAAAGCAATATGGAAAAATGGAACTTCTAAAAGGCGCTCAAAGATCGTGATATAGTTTGTAAAAACGAATTATTCTTGTCGTCTATCTTTTAAATTGTTTCTTTCTTGGTTTTGTAGTATTCCATTTAAAGCCGTTTCTTTCACTATTATTTTCGTTTAAAATAATTTAAATTACAAAGTATAATTTTTTTCCCAAAAAAGAACTACAAAAACCAAGTTTTTCAAAACATCGCATTTTCCGAGGTCATTCGATCATTTTTCAATCCGTGCTATAATCATTTTTATTGGCTTTATTCGGATAGCAAAAAAGATGGGAGGATGAGATAGTGTTTCGAGCATTGATGGAAATCTTTCATTTTTTTTTTTTTTTTTTTTGCAAATGAATGTTTATATACTTCTCAATTATTAGGATGAATTCTATCGTACAAATTCTATAATGATTTTATAATGAAAAGCGAATGTTCAAATGCAACTTTATTTACTTTACAAATTTATACATTCGTTCTTAGCGATGGATCAACTGCCTCATTTCGAAATTTCTCTTATTAATAGGCAAAGGATTGGTCGTATTTTATTGGTCTTACTAGGTTATCTGTACTTCTTCAGGGTAATCTACCTGTACTTTTGTTTTGAAATGGTGTCCCCTTCACCGTATTATGAATTTCCATGTTCTTTTCATCTTTGTAAAGTACATTTCTCTAGAGATCTTAGTACTTTGGATTCAAAATGTACATTGAATGAAGATTTTGATGAATTATGTTTAAAAATTATATTGCAAGTAACAGCGATGTTACGGATATATAATTTCACAGGTTAGAAAGGAATAAACAAGTCATGCTCAAGACGAAACATAATGATCTGATGATTTTCGAAATGAATGGACTTATATTCAAAATGGATGAAGTCACAAGTGATATTTATAATTTCAATCTCTTCAATTTTGTTGGATTTACATCGCAGAAGTTTTTTTGGTTGAAGTATTCCTGCAAATGTTTCTTCCTGTCCATATCTTATTCATAGGAATTTGATCCGGTGCATATGTAATGCAACTGGGATCTTTTTTTATGAAAAACTTTTTCAATCACTTTAAAATGCTAGAGAATTTTCTGTAATATGAAATATCTTCGTTGATTGTTCAAAAGTAGTGCTGCATGGACGGTCTGTACAGCCTTTTTTTTTTTTGATATTGGTTGTAAATACTTATAAGATGTTGGAGACTTAACTTAAAAGAAGAGAAAAAGAAACATATTTTAGACGTCATGCAGTGTGAATCCTTTTTCTTAATGAATTCTAGTTGAAATCATAAAAGATCTTTATGAGCATTTTGGGAAGTACTTATTTTGTCTATATTTTATCTATGATGCTATTGAGTCGATGCAACCTACTATTTCATATTTAAAAACCTTATAATTTAAAAAAAAAAAATAAAGCATTTCATAAAATTTTTGGGAATCAATATTAGTTATTACAATAGTTGCTATTGCAGGAATGAATAAAATTGGTTGGAACAACAACTAATATGGAAATAAATGCTGATGAAAAAAATTTTGTAGAAAAAAAAAGGAAAAAGAAAAACAGATGAAAAAAAATCTTACTTCAAGTGAAAACTTGTATGAACATTTCAACACTAAAAAAAAAGCAAAACCAAGGTCAAATTTCACTTTATTCATACAGAGTTGACAATCCTATATAGTTCTATAGTTGAAATTATTTGATCACCCAATATATTCCGTAACCTCATCGACATAGGCATACTGGCATTGTTATCACATTTAATTTCATTCTTTCCTTGGTTAAGTTAGAAAATTAGAGACAAAACAAAGTATATTTATAGTTGAGATAATCTCTTCTCCCATATATGTCTCCTCGTTTTGCTAAATTTCACACTCTTGGATCACACTTTTTCATAGCGATCCCGTTCATTCCGGCCCGTATGCCATCTGTGTGATACATCAAACATTCCGGCTCCATTTCCGGCGTAATTGTCCCCATTAGCTGGTAGATTTGCCCGAGACTTGTAAGCGTTTGGGTAGCGTTCGGGAATTGTAATCCTGTAACACTCGATGCTTTCATTGCCATTATCATTATGTTGCAAACGATCCAGTCATCTTCTTCCTAACTTGATCCGAAAGAAAAATGGGAGAAGCTTGACAGATGTATGTAAATGCAGGATGCTCTCTCTTCTTGTTCTTTAACCTGACCCTGACTTTCGTAGTATGACCTTTGATTGCTAAAGTGAATGTGAAGGACATCATAGTTGCTTCTCAGTTCGAATCGATTGGTGATGTCATCGTTGTTCACTTGTGTCCTGCTTACACTTTTTTTTTTCAATCCAATTCAATTCATTTCAGTTCGTTTAAACTCTGCTAATGATCTCGCTGTCTTTCACGCACGTAAACATCACGAAATGCTATTTTCTAAATGATTGAAAAACTAACAGCAGTGTTTACTTGCTCCATAATTTGCCCTATTTATTGTAAACAACATTAAGTTAAAGGACAGAGACATTCCAAATAACATCTCTTTGCTTTCTTTCTTCAGTGTGAAAATATTTTCTCCAGCGTTCGGTGCGTTCATACTCCCTCGGAATTCACCAATACAGTTTTCTTTCTTTCACAGTTTCAGTAAATAAACTGTTATAACTGTTTAACCACAAGCTTATTTTCTCAGTGTGAAAAACCAATAGTTTACAATTTCCATTGACACTTAAGCAATTCTTTTTTTTTTTACTCCAAAATATTTTGGTATTTTCATATAAAATATTATAATTTTAATTTGGATTTGAAGGAACCATCGCGATATGCATGATTTCGCAATTTAATTTATCGCATACTGCAATTCCAGTTTTATATTTATCATACATGCTGCAAATTATTATTATTAATTCTAGTAGACAGATAAATGTGATTCGTATTTTCTTTTTTAAAATTTATTATTTCTAATTTCTTTAAAACATTTTTTTACGGTTAAAATTTTGTTCATCGCATCTACAAAAAATATCTTAAAAAATACAGGAATGTTAACATGAGTACATGAACAAGTTCTTTTTATGCATCTTTGAAAGTTAGAACGCTTCGTTATCGTTATAAAAAAAAAAAAAAAGAAAGAAAAACTAAATCCAATGTGATAATTATCATTCATATTTTTCAGTATTCTAAGTGCATAGCATTTAGAAATTATACTCACGCGAAATAGATCAAAATTTGATATACTTCAACATTTTATCGCTTTTTCACTGCATTCGAGAGCAAACGGAATATTTTAAAGATGATAAGTAGAGGTAGGACAACCTTTCAAATACATTTATCTTATTCTCACTTATTAGACACACAAATCATACTAATAATGCAATTTTATAAAATTTGTAGTTTTCACAAAATCATCTCAAAAGCACTAAACACGTTAAAAAATACATTCAATTTCACTACATACTAAATCACACTGTATTTCCTTATATTTTCCACACATTTTCCATTCATATTGATAGTACGAAAAGAAGAAAGCAAATTTTATCAACTTCAAAAGATATGCTACTTTAATTTCTTGAAATTCAATTTTACTTTATGCGAAAAAAATCAAATTTTTGCTCTTTGATACTTTATTTCATAAAATTCTTCAATTATAATAATATTGCTTTTCATAAATATTCTACCATTATGCATATCATTCAGTTATCTCTCTCTTCATTTCTACCTCAAATGATACAAATGAATTCTATTGTATCCATTAATTTATTTACAAATTTAAAATTTTTCTTCAAAATTTCTCACAAAACCAAAAGATTTCCTTCTATTATATAAGACAAATATCGTTGAAAATATTAGATATTCGAGTTGTTTATGTTCTTTCTCTCTCTAACATTTTCTCTTCATTATTTTTACTTTTCTTTTCTATCATTATGTCAAAAATTCAATCTTAGATAAGAAGCAAAAATAACAGCTGTTCTTTCTTTGCTTTTTTTCCATTCTTGTTATAGCAAACATGCAAAAAGCAATTCTTCTTTCATATAATCACAACAAAAATTTGTATCTTATCATATAAAATAAATTATTTCAATTCATGAATTCATGAATTGAATTCTTTTTCTCTATCTCTTTCATTCTTTCCATTTATATTGTTTTACGATGAAATATTTCCTTCCTTCACATTCCTCTATATTATTTCAATCGATTTTATGACATAATATTTGTCGCTAGTTGTTATATCAAATAATTGTATTATGAGGTTTACTTAATCATCAAATAAGCTAATCAAATTGATCAACTGGAGTAATCATTTTATTACGCTTATTTATATATTGACAGAAATTTGTTTGCATACATTTTGGATTTATTGCAGAGATAAGTGTAAGGGAAGTCAATTTGGTTTGGTAATTATGATTAACGTTCTTTCCAGGATAATCAAAACATCGAAGGTAAGAAATGATAAACTTCTTTTTCTTCTCTTTTTTTATATAATTGAACTCCTTTGTAAATTAAAAATTCAAATTATTTCTTTTGTTATTAGTAATTCAATAATTCCTAAATGATTCCTTAGAGTAGAAGATATCATCATTCATTATTCAGCTACCCATACAACAACAATCGCTGGTAGCATTTTCGATTCGTTTGGCTAGCAATGAAGCATCTTTTCAAACCAAACCATATAAGCTACATCGATTAGAATCTGGACCATCAACGAATATTTCTGTCACAAGAAATGATGCTTTGGATTACTATCGTAAAATGGTGGTTCGTTTTTGCTAATTTTACATCATATTTTGCTTCTATTTTTTTTAGAATACATAGGTGGTGTTCAATTACATATGATAATTTTATAAAAATTAATTAGTTTTTGTGAGAGCAATATATTACAGGTAATCCGACGGATGGAAACAGCAGCAGGAAATCTCTATAAAGAAAGACTTGTCCGTGGTTTCTGCCATTTATATGCAGGACAGGTGATAAATTTTATGTGATTTATAATCGTCTTTTCATACAGCTATCAAAATATGCATCCAAACTATATAATTAACTTTTAAATACTTCTTAAGAAAACCGTCAAAATATCTTCCTACAGATCTTTTTACACTTCGAGTCTTCATTTCCCTTCTGTTTACATTTGTTAAATATTGCTAACTCAGATATTTCATGATTAGGAAGCGATCGCAGTTGGACTTTGTGCATCGAAGGATAATGAAGATGCTATAATTACTTCATATCGTTGTCATGCGTGGACCTATTTAACTGGATCGGGAATCTCGCAGATTTTGTCGGAATTAACAGGTTAATAATGAGAGAAATATACTTGTACAGCTTTTGAGCTGAGTTTGGTGGATCTCAAAAGAACTTATCTATTACGTGGACGTCGTATTACACAAATAAAAACAAAATTAGAACTCCCAAAAATATTTGGCATTCCTCAGGTCGACGTACTGGTAACGTGTATGGAAAAGGTGGCTCTATGCATATGTATAACAAAAATTTCTTTGGCGGTAATGGCATTGTTGGTGCACAGCAAGCACTTGGCGCTGGTTTAGCATTTGCGCATAAATATAATAAGAAAAAGAATGTTTCATATACTTTGTTTGGTGATGGTGCAGCAAACCAAGGACAACTTTATGAAGGTTCACTTCATAATCTTTAATAATTCACTAACCTTATGACAAGAGCTTATTGATGAGAAAATTGCATAATTTGAATTTATCGAATTCATATCATAGTGCAGTACTGTCAAATAAATGATAGAATTTTGCAGTCATAAAATGGACTGGGAGATTCTTTGCTGTTTTAATGCAAACATGAGTGTTAAGCATTCTTAAAAGGTAAAGATATTTGATATGCTAAATACAAGTGAACTTGTTCAACTCATTCAAGCAAAAATGAGTTTTTAGTTTAACTTATTCAACTCTCAAACTAAGTGTTTTTTTAGTCATTAATATGTGTGCACTATGGGATTTACCATGCATATTCATTTGTGAAAACAACGGATATGGTATGGGTACACCAGCTGATCGTGCATCTGCTGTAACAGATTACTACACACGTGGCGATTATATACCAGGTGTTTGGGTAGGTTTAATAATTGATAATCGTTATGAGAAGTTAATTTTTAATACTAGCAATTCATTATCAAATAAAGAAATACGTTTTGAAATAATTGTAGGCTGATGGTATGGATGTTCTTGCCGTTCGTGAAACAATTCGATGGTCAAGAGAATACTGCAATGCTGGGAAGGGACCTCTTATGCTAGAATTTGCTACCTATCGATATTCTGGCCATTCCATGTCAGATCCGGGAACAAGGTTAGCGTAGCATATTTTCTTAAAAAATTTCAGACATTCTAGAAAAGAATGAATGATTGATTTCTTTTCATGTTCCTAACACATGACATGTGTTTTTCAGTTATCGAACTCGAGATGAGGTACAGCAAATGCGCAAAACTTGTGATCCAATCACAGGTTTCAGAGATAAGATCATTGCTGCCGGATTAGCTTCCGAAGAAGAATTAAAAGGAATTGATAAAGAAGCCAAGAAAGAGGTTATTCCTAGCTTTCCATATTTGAAAAATACAAACTATTAAAAAAATAAAAAATAATAAAATAAAAACATAATTTTTGATGGAAAGAAAATTGTTTTCTAGTCATTCGAAAGTTTACTTCATTAGCAATACTAGAAAATGTCCTGTTCTGTAGTTCCATATGGTGTTTTTTTTTTTCAAAAAAGAAAGGCTGTATGCCAGCTATCAAAACATTGCACTTGATCTATTTTATGATTGGATTGCTGACAGTTGAGGCTTAATATATATATATGTTTGTTACTGCTAGAATGAACAAAAATTGTTTTTTCTTAGTTTATAAACTAAAACTAGAAGGTACATCTAAATTGACGGTAATTGTGATAATAAATTACTGTAAATGCAATCGTTAGTTCATTTTGTTAAATTTAAAGATTTGTATCATTGTTATTTTAGGTTGATGCAGCCGTAAATATAGCTCGAACCGAACCTCCACTTCCACCAGAATCACTTTACTGTGATATCTATCATAACACACCTCCTCAATATGTACGTGGTGTCACCCTAGATGAAAGTGTCGTACAAAAACATTGCCGAACTGAAGATTTAATGAAATCATTAGGATTGAACGCTTAATTAGAACTGTTTTCTCCTTTATACTTTGTAAACATTTTTAAGATGTCAGTTTTCAAATTGGTCTCTTAAAATTTGTCTAATCACAACCATAATATCTCACATTATCAGCGAGCAGACATTTTCACTTTCTTATCAATTCTTAATTCTGAAATATTCTTGATTATCTCCAAGAAACATTTTTGCCACGTACTTCTTGATAGTGTATGCTACGTTTTATTAGCGGAAGTTATTAGTAATACTATAAATAATTAAGATTACTGCTGCTATGAGCGAAATATATTCTTTTGAGCAAGTTATACTTTTACAAATTTTTAATGTGGAGGTATTTGAAGTTGTAAATGTTTCGCTTGAACATATTCACAAATGAATTATTCCATTCATTTGGATTCCACATAATGCATCGATTTTTCCATATACTCGAAGTAAACTTTTAGAATCAACAAAAAATTTAAACGTAACATGTAGTGATTGTGTAAAAATGGTCGGATGAAGATAATAAAGGGAGAATTAGAGTTTCTAAACTTAAAACTTTAAAGAAACTAATTAAATGAAGATTTGTTCAGGTATGAAAATATGAAGTCAGGTTAGAAATATATAGGAATACTGGTTGAGTATTATTGATGAATTCAGAAATTATCAAAATTATAAATACTTAAAAAGGTGAAGATTTATTGTTTACTATGATTAAATATCAAAAACTTGTTATTTGAGATATCATTTGGTAAGTTAATGACTGTCTTTTAGATAAGGACACGATGTTGAGAAGTGGACAGTTTCTAGAATTTCGGAAATTTATTCTGAAGCAGATAACTTCTGAGAACAATACGAAATGTAAAATAAAACATTATGTTTCAAAGTTTATTAGTTGTCTGTATAAATTTGAATGGGATATGAAAGAAGAGCATTTCGCTAATATTCTCATCATGGGTAGGAGGATGGAAGATTGGAGACAGACATTACCCATGGGTGAGTTATGCTATCGATAATTACGAACAAGGATAATCACATCAAAAAAGAAAAGAGAAAATGGAGATGACTGTTGAAACACTGATGGATTGAAAATTTTCAGTCTTAGCAGTATATTTTGAGTGGAGCTATTTTCCCTATTTTTGTTATCAAATAATCACAAATGGGTAACTTACCTAAATGATTATTCAAATTCTCTTTAAGCTGTGTTAGTTATCTCTTCCATGTAGAATAGCATCACTTCTCCATTTACGCACGTTACAAATGCGAAGATCTCACGTGCGTTGAATACGTGATCTATTATCAGTAAGCTAAAAATAAAACATAAATCTTTAAGCTCTGAAAGCTTTGAAAGTATTAAAAATTGGAAATTTTATAGATGAAATTATTGAAAAGGAATGGGAATTTTAAATGATAACGTGATTGTGATACAGTGATGATTGAATGAGATTTGAGGTGAGGACAGAACAGTGATCTTAAAGGATTCGATCTGTTTGAAAAGAAGGAAATACTGCATGGCTATTTCTTTCTTACTTTCTTTCTTTTCGGAAATATGATTCTGATTGAAAATTTTTGAAATTTTTACAATCTATTATTCACAAAGGGCACATTTGAACGGTTTGAAAGAAAAAAAAAACTTAACTATTCCAACTTGATATCTATACCTCAAATGTAAATTCAAAATTCTACTTTTGCATCACAAAATTCACAACAGAAATTATTGGAACAAATAATTTATTTTAATTTGTTCAGCATAAATCTAAACAAAATGTCTATCTTAATTAGTTGCGTTTAAAATTTAAGCATAAACGTTAAACATAAGCTATCCATGATGATTATTAAATTTAAATAAGATAACTTACCTACAAATGAATCAGTTTTTCCCGAAATTTCATGCATTTATTTTGTAACTGTCATGATTGATCAGGAATGATCAACCTTATTGATTACTCGTAAATACTTCTAAACTTATTGGCAGCTAAGAAATAAATTATAATCTTAAACTTTTTGAAATACGCCAATGACTTTAGTTTTATTACTTCTGATTATTCTGATTAAAATTTCCATATCCATTGTATACATACTGTCATCATATCAAATTAATTATGTAAATTTTTTTTCATTTTAATCTCAATAAAATTTATTGATGTAAAAGTAATTTCTCATTGTTCAATTTTGTGATAGTGGAGAGCAGCTTGAACATATTGTAAATCTAATCAAGAAAATATGGTCGTTGCTTTATTTGCTGCCAAAGTAACATTCTATCATCGATTGATAAATTTGCTAAAAAAGCTTTAAATAATTTTCTTTCAATTAATCTTATCTTTCTTCCAGTATTTTATATTATAAATTGTAAAAGAATTTGATATTTATATAATATTTACGCTTCATATCCTAATCAAAACAAAATCTGTAAATATTGCTTAAAGAACTTTCATCATTTCATTTTTTTTTTTTGAGATTCAAAATCTTCTACATAAAATTAGAAATGCAAATTTTAATGAAATGAACATTCAAATATTTTTTGTAACTATTATTGTAAACCATTTGTTGATACTTGTCATTATCAGAAGTTTTCAATGTTATGGCATCGATCATTCACCGTTCAATTAGTTCGCCATATAAGCGAAGCATCATTCCAAGTACAACCATTTAAATTGCATCGACTAAAATCTGGTCCATCAACAAATGTTACCGTCACTAAATCAGATGCTCTCAAAATGTACAAACAAATGCAGGTATGTATCGTTTGATGTCCTTACTGAGATAATCTTACCTTTCTAAATATTAGTACCACGGCAATTATCAAAGTTAACTGCAGTTAGCCTTCTATTATCAACTCGTAATTTCATAAATTGTTTGTTAATCGATAAGAAATATCGTGATGTATTTATTATTTCTTAAATTTTGTATCATATCTCAACGCTATTATATCTTTTGATAATTTATGTATGAAAGTAAAAAACATTAATATCTATGTCAAATTATAAATAATACCTATTCATTGTGAAAAATAAAATATTCCTAAATAAAATATCTCCAAGTAGCGTTAACACTGTAACATATCTTTTCATTTTATTTCAAAAAATTTAGGTAATTCGTAAAATGGAGCAAGCATCAGACTTATTATATAAGGATCGAAAAATTCGTGGTTTTTGTCATCTCTATGCTGGACAGGTCACAAATTTGATGCTTTTGCATAAATTATTTATTACAATTACACTTCCATATTATCTTTTCAATAAATAATTTTCAATTTATTATCTTCTACAAATGCAATAAATTCAATAAACAAAAATTTTTAATACCTTTAAGGAAGCTTGTGCTGTTGGACTTTATGCTGCAAAACATCCCGATGATTCCATTATAACTTCTTATCGTTGCCACGGATTTACCTATTTAGTTAGAAATAGTGTAAAAGAAATTCTTTCAGAACTGCTTGGTTAGTTTCAATTAAAAAAAGTTCATTGATAATGAATTGATAATTTGTCTGTTTATCTTTTCAATTTATTAACTTTAAAGTAAAACAAAATATTGGAATAATAATTACTTGTGAAAAAAATTGGATAATGAGCATGAAATTATGAGGAATTTTAATCATATTTGCTTCACAGAAATAAATTCACTTCCACTAGATGTGAAAGTCAAAAGACTTATACTGCTTACATCATAGTTTGAACTAAATATTACCCAAGATTACATGATAAGCTTAGGCTTTTTTTTTTGGATCATATTTAAAATCTAACTTTGAATTAGGCCGTTCGCATGGTAACGTTAACGGAAAAGGTGGTTCGATGCATATGTACGGCAAAAACTATTATGGCGGTAATGGAATTGTTGGTGCGCAACAACCACTTGGCGCTGGCATAGCTTTTGCAATAAAATATAATCATAAGCCAAATGTATCTTTCACTATATACGGTGATGGTGCTGCAAATCAGGGGCAACTTTTTGAGGGTAAACTTTATTTTTATCTAATTAAAAGAAGTTTGACGTACATAAATGATAATTTTATGCTTAATCTTTTCATTTTTTGAAATTTCCCTAAAACTTCCAAAAAAATTTTTTCAAAAAATTTCTTGATAATTTTATAGAATGGAACAGGCATTATTAGATTTGTTAGCTAATTTTTATACATTATTATTTGCTGCTAAAATTGTATCGATTAGAATTGTACAAATATTTTAACGTTTATAGAAATGTTTGTACAGCTTTAATGAAATTTTATTTTGTGTTCGCTACAGAATTCAACAAATATTCTATTATAGTTGACAAAAATTATATTATAGTTTTTAAAATGTGACATTCTTTGATAAGAAAGGTAACTGTTAAAAAATTCAACAGCAATAGAACGAATAACTTTTTACGTACGTAAAATAAAATGAACTATAATTGATAGCAATTTCAGCAGCAAACATTTGTGCGTTATGGCATTTACCATGTGTTTTTATTTGTGAAAATAATGGTTATGGTATGGGTACACCAACTTCACGCTCTTCCGCCTCAACAGATTATTATACCCGTGGCGATTTTATTCCCGGAATTTGGGTAAAATCTTTTCTCATTTTCAAAGAAAATAATGTAAAAGATTTGTGCTCATCATTAATCAAAATGTCAACTTTTTTTTTTCTAATAAAAACCAGGTTGATGCCATGGATGTGCTTGCGGTACGAGAGTCGATTAAGTTCGCCAGAAAATATTGCACTGCTGGTGATAATTGTCCATTATTTATCGAATTTGCAACTTATCGATTCTATGGTCATTCTGTTTCTGATCCAGGAACAAGGTAATCAAATTTATAGAGGATTAAGTTTTATTAGATTATTTAGAATCAAATCTCGACTTGTTTTTTTTTTTTTTGCTTATTTAAAATTACAGCTATCGAACTCGTGAAGAAGTGCAGAATATACGTAAAACATGCGATCCGATTTCGCTATTGAAAAATCGAATCATTACATCAAATTTGGCAACAAAAAATGAATTGAAAGCAATTGATAATGAAGCAAAAGATGAGGTGATTAAAAGACAAGTAGCATTGTTATTGTTATTGAAAAAAAAAGAAATCAAAATTATTATAATTTGAAAAAATGCAGATAAATTTATTCTAGTAAATTCTTAACTAAGTATGTTAGCTATTTGACCTCATTAAAATGTTCACTTTTAGGTCAACGAAGCAGTTAAATTTGCGACAGATGATCCAGTAATTTCTATGGATGCACTTGTCACCGATATCTATCACAACACACCACCGATAATTGTCCGCGGTCATACAATGGATGATATCAAAGTGCAACCACACACTCGAACAAGTGAAATATTTAAGAAATTCTAACAGTGCCACTTGATTAAATTAATTCTAAATAACAAAATATAAATAAAGCTTTAATTTCAGATAAAATTTCATCCGTAATTATTAATTTGTTATTATTGCAACAAATTAAATAAAATGCAAGAAAACAAAACAAACAACTCATTTTTTAGCTTAAATTTGAAAATACTTATTGTCATTATCAAAATTTCAATCATCAAAGATTTAATTACCAGTGTTCTAGTAAGGTTATCAACACAAATTTTCTTGATTATGATAAAATATAAGCAAGAATTTTTGATAATATAAATAAAACTGGAAAAGGGTTTTTTAGAAATTTGATCAACAGTTCCTTCCTTTCAAAATGATTTGTTAATCAATCATTTTTATGCAAATATAATTTAGTAAATTGTGTCATTGCCATAAATTTAGAGTCAGATGTTAAGATTTTGCTAAATAATATGTAATGTATGCATTCTCAAAATATTAAAATAAATTTTGCAAGGTACTAAGGTATACAAATGGCAATTGATCGTCTATCGATTGATACGATCAGTAGTGAACTAGTTCAGAACGAATATAATATCAAAATGAAATATTTATTCAATGTACAGTTATGCTATTATTGAATAGAATTTCTTTTTTTATTGTATATAATAGAAGAGTTGTTACAGAAATCAAAATCTATTAAGATTTCTAAACTAAATTTAAAGAAAATTAACCACAGAAAAAAGCGAATTAGCCTATTTTTAAAATCAAATTTGTGAACGATCAAAAATTTGCCTCACTCCTCCTTCCTCTCTCTTTCTCTCTCTCTCTCTCTCTCATATTTCTCTTGTTGGTACTATTATTTTGAAAATATTCATCGATATTGTGAAGCTAATCAAGAATGTTGAAAGAGATTATCCTTTTTGCCTTACTCTTCAATCATTCAATAAAGATTTAAATTATTAAATCTGAAAGAAAACTTGAGATTTGTATGGAACATTCTAATTAACTTAATTTATATTAGTTGACAAAATAAACTTTTTCATCAGAATAATATTATTTTCAATTGATTTCCTTTAGCTGTTTTCATAATAAACTTTACAATTTTCCATTTCCATTTTTAACTCTTTTTTTTTTTTTTTTTTTTGTTATTAATTAGCTAATTGCATCACTTAATTGTAATTAGCTAATTGTAAGTTTAAAGTCATTCAAAATTTAACTCTCACTATTATTATTATATTTAAAATGCAAAACCTCTTAAAAATTACTTTTTGCGATTCCATCTTTTCAAAGCAAAAACCAAAATGCTTGAATATCATCAATAAGCCATATTTATCGAAGTAATTCGAAATTAGAATTGCAATTCACTGGATGTATTGAAGGTAGATAAGTTGCATTTTTCCATTTATTTAATCGTTTCTCTGAAACTTAGTTTTTTTTTTCTTTAAAATTTCATTTCTTTCTTTTTTTTTTCATAAAATTAGTGAAAGAGAAAATGATTGTAACGATAGATTGGGAATAGTTCAAATTTCCTTTTATTTCTTCTTCAATGTCAAACTTTCTTGCTATTTCGATAAAATTATACATTGGGCAATTATTCATTTATTCGTGATATATCGATATTCTCGATTATTTTATTGCTATTTATAAATGATTTACAATCAGTGAGCATATTATGATCCAACAATAAGCAACAATTTGATCTATAAACTGTATATAAAAATTAAATTGATTAAAAGAATTATTTTGCTATACGAATTTCAATTATTTTACAGTTAGTTATAAACTATGCTTAATATTTTAATAACAAAAGACGAAGAAAAATTTTTTTTTTCAAAGAAATTAGTTATTTGATATATTTATAAGCACTAAAACATCAAGTCACTAATTTACTACATAATAAAGCGCAATCAATTATCATTTATCAATAATTCCATTATTGTTAAAAAATATATTTACTTTAGTATAACAGCAAAAGCAAATCTTTTTGTTAAGATCTATTCATAATGATAACAAGTTTTTATTCCTAACAATAAGAAGCGAACAAGCAATTGTATTTAATTAATTATACAATTTCTATGTATGGATTACAAAGAATCTTGCTTTCGGCGAAATTATTCTTTGTTCAAGAAATAGGTGAAGAGAAAAAAAATGTGAAGCGATAATTATAGTATTTATTTTATCAGCAGCAATACGATTAATGAAAGATTTGCAGCAAAATTTTTTTTTTTTTGACATTGTTGAAGAGTTACGAAGGAATGGTCGATGATTAAATTTGAGTTTAAATTATTTTAAATCACTTAGATTAATTGAATCATAATTTTTAATAAATTTAAAAATTATGTAGTTTCTAAGTAGTTAGTGATGATAAATGTTAATTGGTGTTGATAGAAGAAGAAATGATCTTGTTATAGAAATAATTGACTCTGTGATTAATAAATTTTGCTAATTAAAATGACACAAATGAAGTATTTTAGATTAATTTGCATAAAGACAGTATCAGAAAAATTGTTATTATTATCAGTGATTATGATAATAATTTGTACTTCATTAGTGATAGCAACAAGTACAACTGTTAGCAATTGTACCACTTATGTTTCTTTTCAAAATGAAATACTAACAATTTTATTAAAATGTTATTATATGCAAGTTATTAACAAAATTAATGACAAAAAAAAAGTTGAAAATTGAGGAATTTAAAGAAATTTACATAGTGTACAGTTATGTTTCTGTTGATGAAAATAATTCTAAAATTTGGTTAATTAATTAAAATACAGTCTTCGTTTTCTTTTCGAATCATTCACATAAAACGTGTAATGTAATGACCGATACATGTAAACAAATAAATGATAAATTTTTTTTTTTTTGGAAAAAAAGTACCACGAAGAATAGCTTTTTAGCAATTTGCCACGCCCCAAACTAAATCTCTTCACTTTATTTATAATATATAAAGCAGATGGATTGATAATTTTTCATTAGCAAATGTTAGGGATGAATTGATAAGGGATGAAGTGATAGGGTGGGTATGAGATGATAGGAGATGAACAGATAAGAGATAAAGTAGTGATTTAGTTAAAATGATAAGCAATGAATTGATGATGCAACATGAAATAGTAATTGTATTATTGTAAATTTACAAATTGATGTGTCACTTCTTCACATTTACTTCTTTTTCTTATCATTTATATTTTATTGACTTCGTCATTTCTTTGAATCAATAGCTAAGTTAAAACAATTTTTGACAAAACTGATTCAAAGAAGTGAAGAAGTTAAATTTCCATGTAATCATTTTTATCATTTTTTCCTTACATTGTATTTCCTTTTTTTTTACACAAATTATTCGTATTATATGTTTTTTTTTTAAACTATAAATTGCATAAATAGTAGTGAGAATATGTGTGAATTGTATTTTTCAATAAATTTGAATAACAAATCCAAATTTATACTTTGCTAGTCCAAACTTATGCAACACATTTTTTTTAATTGAATATTTCAGCGATCAAAAATTGATTGAGAAACTATGAATTACACATTGTCAAAGAACAAACATTAAACTATTCAGATTATTGTCATGCTAAACAATTAATAGTCCTAAACCTTTAAAGCAAGAATTTAAATTCAATAGTACCTTTCAGTTATGCTACAATCTTAGTGAATACAATTTCTATTAAAAATCTTGCAAATTTCTTTTCTAAGAGAAAAATTTTAAAACATATAATTTTTTTTTTACAATTAATAATTCTTTTTTTCTTTCTATTTGCTTTATAATTGTTAATCTATTTTTGGTTTCTTTTTGAATTACAAAAAAAAAAAAAAAAATAAATAATAATAATTCTTGCATACTTTTCATAAATTGTAAAAATTTATTATGCGTATATAATCTAACCATCAGATGAAATGGAAATAATACCCGGAGCCTTTTACTTTATTTGCCTTTCGTGATATTTTGAATGGTGGTTAAGTGAGTGATGTAAAGAAAATTTATAGTTTACATTTATTTCTAAGAGAGAGGAAAAGGTTTATTAATAAATTATTTGTTATTTTAAATCTAATTGAATTTTTTGGTAAATTTGTTAAGAAATAGTAGTTCAGTTGATTGATCGATCGATCGAATCGGATTAATATTTGCATTTGAGTCATTCAGCAATATGAATTAATTCTATCAGTGTATTTAAATAATGGAGTAGATTTATATGATATCGAATAAGTTTATTTAACTAACAATCAAACTTTTTTAATGTTTATCATTTTCACTTATCATTTAATATTTATATTTATAGCATCTTATCAAGAAGGTTGTCGTCGAAAAGTTCGAATGGCATGCAAAATTTTTGCATTTAAATATTCGTCAATTGAAATGATAAACAATATTTGTAAAGTGATATTTAACAAATATTCAATTATAAAATAATCTCTCCAGTAACAATAATTTTTTTTTAATTCTAGAATTAAATGATAAAATTGGTTGCTAAATGGTTAACAATTTAATTTTATTTTTGCTTTCAAGATTGGTCAATTAATAATATGTAATCTATCCTACTATTATTACACTTATATGCATATAACAATATAGTAAACGCTATCATTTATCATAAATTTAAAACTTAAATTATAAAAATCTAAAAATCAAATTAAATTATTGCCCGAAATAAAGCATTCAATTGTTCTAATGCAAAGATTATAAAGTTATAAGTTCTTCATTTTATTTTATAATTTTTTCATGCAATATTTTCTTGTCAAATTTATTTTGCTTCCACTATTTTGTATTCATTTCGTTTTTGTCTCTAATGATGAATCTATTAATGATTTAATCATAAATTTCAAAAATTGATATTTCATTAATTGTTGCAATCAATTTCATTTTTCCTTTGCCATTATTAGCAACAGAATTAACATAAAATAAATTTTATGGGTGAGATAACTATGAAATATTTTTAGCATTTCTAAAGTGAATACAATAACACTTTCCAATATAGAAAAAGTTAATATGTGATGATATGTAGATTATTGAGCTTATTTGTTTAGCAATACTTTTT